ATTGACTTTCTAAAAATTTACAAGGTTGGCTAAATACTGATTGGTCTGTGTCACTTTTGGTTTTGATATACTTTTTAATAAAAGTTTATTATGCAATCTAAAAAGACAAATAATAAAAAATCATTTGAAATATACATTTACAAAAAATGAAAAGGCATGTTCTCTGATGAAGGTAAATATTAAGTGCTAACAAATCAATATACAAACATTGAAACAGTTCTACAATGCGGTAAACTTTAACATTAACTATCAATACATACTTAAAGTACGTATATTTCAATATTAATATTGCAATATGCATTCAGAACACTTACGAAATTGTGAGTGTTGCATTATCGCAATTATATATTGAAAAACAACTATCTGATAGTATATATACAACTTAAAACTCCAATGTCAATTTTTTAACTACAATAGTCATTAAAATAACCCTTAAACGTCATTGTAAAAAGGTGCGTGAATTATAATACGCTTCTTTAAGTGACATCTAACACATACGGCTTTAACTCACCAATATTAAACAATAGAACAATGAGTGGTAAAGTAAAAATAGAAATAGGTTTAATGTGAAATAAGGGTATAGTTAATTAAATGAAATTTGAATTATTGTTGATTTCAAACTACGTAGAAAAGAGTTATTTAAAAAGTTTAAACAAAAGTTGCCCCCCTAAGATGTTGAAGGAAGTCCAAAATTTCTTCGTTTTCTTATCATTTTCATATTATAGCAAAACTTTGTTTAATAGTGACGATAAATCAAAAAAATATATATGACACATCCTTATATACTGTGTTTCCTAAAGCTTGTTTGAAATTCTTAGTTCCCCTAACTATAAAAACATAATATTTGTTAGAATAAAAATTAAATTTTATTGCATAGCAGCATAAATGTATGAAAGCTTTTAAGTTATTTTTAAAAAAGTGAATATAGCTTACTTTTGTTTTATAAAAAAAAGTAAGCTATATTCACTTTTTTAAAAACCAGTTCTGTTAGTTAACGTGAGAAAAAAACAACTTTAAAGCTTTCATACATTTATGTTGCTATGCAATAAAATTTAATTTTTATTCTAGCAAATTATTATGTTTTTATAGTTAAATTATTATGTTTTTATAGGGGAACTAAGAATTTCAAACAAGCATTAAATTTAATGCATTAAAATTAAGTACTTATTCAAGTGTTTTGTTTTTACTGTGTTTATTTTAACTCGTATTTATTTATATGTATGTTTTTATTCCTATAAACTATTTAGTTTAATATGAATTAAAAATAAAAGATAGGGCTGAAAAAGAACGTAATAAAAACCTTAAAAAGTTGAAATCTTCTGCAAAAGAATGTGTGAAATTAACATCTTATTTTTATAAAAAAAGATATTCGCAAAATAAAAACACAACCAGGTCATCAATAGAACTCGTTCAAGAATAATGTGATTATCACAAGTAATTTTTCATGACAATATGTCAACATTTTTTAAAGACAATAATTCCTCCAACTTATTTGCGGAAAGTTCAGGCAATTTTCACGCACTTCACGGAAAATAAGTCGGACGAATTATTGTCTACATCTTCAATTGTGACTAGAAATCATCAACAAAACGACATTCAAATTGTTGCTGAACGCTTACTTTTTTGACATTAGTAATGCCATTACGTCTACTATGAACACAAGGACTATTGAGTAAAATATAAAAGAGATGTTGCCTGAAATCAAAATTCAATACATCACAAAAAAATTTATACCAATAGACTTTCCAAAACATTTTTGATCGAATGGATGGGCGAATGTTAATTGGGCATTATATTCTATTGTACAGCAAGCTTTATTTTGTGGCCGATGTTTTTTTTATTACCTTTATTTTTAAAAGAAAGAGAATAATAAGAGGTCTTTTGTAAACAAACTCTTTAATAATTGTTCAACGTAGGGCAACTAAACTTGTTCCGCAACTGCGCAACATGAACTGCAAATCACGTCAGGCAAATCTTCGTCTCAACTCAATAGCTGAACGTAGATTAAGAGGTGATCTAATTCAATTTTTTTAAATTTATAAAAACTTCAACAAAGTCAACTGGCATCAAGAATGTAGGCGAGCGGCTTCTTTCTCATGTGATGGTCCTGCAGATAGTCTTCGTAGTGCAAAGATTAAAAAGGAACGAGAAGTTACCAAAAACAGTCAAAGACGTAATTTCTTAAAAAATCAAGTTGTGCCAACATGGAATGATTTGCTTCCTTCAATAGTTGCCGCTTATACGATCAACGAGTTTAAAAACAGTTATAACAAATGGACTCGTTCTCTTTCAAGTTGGTCTACTATTTGTTGGTTTTCGTTAGACACTTGGCTCATAAAAGTTAAACTTCCTGTTGTAGAATGTTACTATAATAATAATAATAAAAATAATAATAATAATAAAAATAATAGTTATATACATATATATATATATATATATATATATATATATATATATATATATATATATATATATATATATATATATATATATATATACA